GCATTCCTGAGAGCACTGCTGAGAACTGTGCCACACCAGCTGCTGCTTTTTGTACAAGTCAAACCCAGAACATGAAGAATGAAGCTCCCTGCCAAAGCTGGTGAGCTCTCCATCTCTGGCCTGTTTGAAGGCAGCTGTGAGATGTGGCTCCACTGCCTCGCATCCAGGTTTGGCACTGCTGACCTGGCATAAGTGGAGGGGGGTGCTTCTCGGCACTGAGCTTAACAGCGTCTGGGGGGTGGCAGACATGCCCTGAGAGAGAGTTTTATGCCGTGGAAGATAAATCCCTCATCTGGGCCCTGATGAAGGTGCTTTGCAGTGTTCTGCCAGCTGTGTCCCATTTTAGAATCGGCTTTTAGTTTTCATTTCTCTGTCTAGGGCCAATAAAAATAGTTTTTGTTCTAGTAAATGTAGCAGCATCCTTTAAGCAGCTAGGGACACCAGCAGCAGCAGGAAACTGGACTCTACAGTTTAACAAAACTACAGACTGCTTCATTATAAGGCCAAGGGCAGACAGGTTGTAAATTTAACCCTGAAACAATGCTGTAAAGAGTAAGATGTCTGTGAAAGCCACAGGGAGCACCAGATAGTCTGGAAGAGACTAGATCTGCTTGCAGTCCTCCAACACTGCTTGAGGGGGAAAAATCCCAAAAGGAAGGGGAGAGGAATTGTCCAGAAAAAGTAAGCAGGACCAGGGAATTTTCAAAAGCTAGTGTCTAGTTTTTTTTGGTTTTTTGTTTTTTTAAATAAAGCAAAACCACAGAAAAAATGCTGCTTTATACTTCAACAGTTTTCCTCCCTGCTAGTTCACAGGGCTGCCTACCCTGGAAAACACTCTGGTGATGAGAAATCTAATAAAATGATGACACCATGAGAATCAAGAATGAAAGCCTTGTAACAGAGAGAGAAATTATTTGAAATGATTTTAAAATGCTATTTTACTCTAAAGGCCAGCAGATACTTTAAAGAAAAGATTTCCCTATTAAAATACCAATGCCCCTGAAGCTCTTAAGTTAAGATAAGAGAGCTCATAGTAGATGTTATAATATCCACAGAACCAGAACCATTATAGCCAGGGAAAATGAGACTTGACATCTTCTGATTCTGCTAATATAGAAAAACATAAAAAGCTTACAAAAAAACCCCACACCATCTGCATGTCACCTCCTTAGACCATACTGCCTTCACACATCTAACATGCCGGAGTCTAATGTGTTCTCACTCTCAATAGACATATTTCCTAACATTCCTTAACAACTCTTAAATAAATGCTATGTTATATAACAAATACAATACAAATGTTCCAAAAGAAAAACTTTATACCTCATTTTTAAGGATGGTTTCTCTGGTGGCTTTTGGAAGATCTACGCTTGCTTTGTCCTCCATTTTCAGGGATAATGGTCTTTCACCTGCACAAAGTCCACACAAAACAGAGTCAATATTTGCCTTCAAGGTAAAGTTAAAGTGTTTATCACTGTATTCCAAGCTGACAAATGAAGACTTTTTAGTACCACTTGATGTCAAAACCAATCACTGTCTTACAAATATCATGGGTGTAGCTATGAGACAAGTGATTCCAGGTGTAACTGGAATTACAGGTTATATCATCAACTGGTTTGAACTGTCATATTTCCACCAGCTGCAAAGGAGCTAGAACAATTATACCAGCGGAGGATCTACTCTGTGTGATTTATAGGCCAAGTGTCCCAGTCATGCCTCCCATCAGTGTTGGCTTATGACTTTATGTTAGCTGCCATGCCCCATTTTGACCTCAATGCAAGGCTATGGCAATATGTTGCCACAGCATGAGCTGGACTGGAGACCAAAACGTTGTGCCAGCAGGGTTAAGAAAAGAACTGCAATCTCAAAAGGAATTTGAAGAGAAAACTGCTCATTCCACCACCCATTGGTGGTGGGATGAGCAGTGGCAGTGTTAATTGCCATGGCTCCTGGGGCCAGATTTCCAGCCCTGGGGGCCATAGCCAGAGAACAGAGCCACATCATTTGGCCCTCAGAGATGCCCACGGGGCCTGAAATCCAGCAATGGAATGAGCTGCAACTGCTGCAGCTCCAGGAGCCATGGCAATTAATGCTGCTGCCAATTATCCTCAAGGTAAGATGATGCAGCTCCATGCTCCAGATCCAGCCTGTGGACCAGCCCTGGGTGACTCATCCAGTCTGAGGCCAGATGTGTTTGACACCCAAGCTGAAGGAGAGCTATTTAGCTCTAATGAGATGAAACAAATTGGGCTGTCAAACATGACTTGGAGACTGGATTTGGCCTGTGTAGCCACTCCATCTGGCACTTTGGTCTATAAATGGGCTACCGGAAGTTGGGGGCATGGTCTGTTGCAGAATTTGTTGCCCGTGGGATCCATCTCAGTGGCAGAAGGGCAAGCAAAGACTGTGCAACAGCCCTGATTACCATGGCACTTGGCCATTCCACTGTTGGACCCCCACTACCATCTACCACCGTTGGACCTCCACCACTGCCCCCAGGTTCCCACCACTGCAACCACCACAGCCACAAGTTCCAATCTGCAAGGAGCCCTGCAGTATGGATCCAACTGGGGGCTTGGAATGAGTTTGACACCCCTGGAATAGACAATCTAAAATTTAGTTTTGCCATCTTTAGGGTTCATGAGCCAAAGCTCTAAGCCAACTTCTAGTGCTACCTTTAGCAGCTTTTCTACTGACTTCAGTAGGAGCTAGATAAAGCCAGGTAGCAGCAACAAGGAAGCTTGCACACCACCCTCCCCTGGACCTCCAACTTTAGCTGGTGTTTTTCATCTTTGACTTTCTTACCACATTCCATGTATATTTTTCAGTTCTCGTCTTTATGCATATGCCTTACAACATCCCTCTCCCAGAACAATTCTACAAAGATAAGGGATGTCATTTGTTTTGCGTAGGAATCAGTTTCTAACTGTAACAAAATGATTTATAAAAAGCCCATGCCTACGATCCATGCTCAGGCCAGGCTCTCGCTCTCAGGTCCAAAGCGGCCAGTGCAAATGCGATGACTGATGGATGAAGCCAGGACATCTTTCTTGACAATGTCTCAGACTTTAAAGATGCACAGAAACACAGGGCTGGAAGGAACTTGCTGGATCATTAATCCCTCTTCCCTGTTAATGTAGGTAACCCAATCCTACACTCCAACTTGAAGCTAGTGTTTTTGACTGCAAATGGTTATGGAAGGCCCTTCCTCAGATTCATTCCTTCAGGGATTAGGAGTCTTCTCCTATTTTTTTAAATTCTAAAATTTAAATGTCCATACAAATTATTATTATATAGCTCTTATCTATGTAATACTTAAGAGGGGTAGTGATGGAACAGTTCAAGCGTCTCACAATGGCCAAAAAAACAAGTCAATACAACCATAACTGGGTTCCTGGTATTTCCAGCTGGGACGTCAAGGGCGATGGGATGTTATCCTGGCCACATCATTTTCTTGCGTGCCACTGGCTGCAAAGCCAGCGGTGCCTTAACCACACTTGCCCAATGTGCCACCTGGGATGGAATTTTGACCTTCTTGACAACTTGGTATTTACAAGCAGCAGTTACATCTCCCTCTCAGCCACTGTGTTTACAGGCAACACAAACTGTGCAAGAGTATGTCTCTGTCACCTTAGTCATCCTACTAATCATTCTCTGTACTTCTGTCAGTTTGACAACATCTTTTTGAACATGTAACCAAAACTGTACACAATATTCCAGATGAGGTCCCATGACTCCCTTTACAACAGGGGTTTTCAACCAGGGGTACACATACCCCTGGGTGTACTTTGGAAGGCTGCAGGGGTACGCGACAGTGGTGCAGGCACTGCTGGTTTCGCTGCCATGTGCTGTACGGGGACCCCCTCCCTTGCTCGTTGACCAGGGGACCCCCCCCCACACACACACACACACACACACTTGTCGGCCACCTGCCAGAGAACTCCCTGCTTCTCGACCAGCCGCCAGTGGTGCCCTGACAAAAGAAGGTTGAAACCCCCTGCTTTACAACATTAATCCACCTTTCTATCTACTTGAAATATCTTGCCCAATTCATCCTATCGTCACATTTATCTTTTTTACAGTTGCATCACATCAGTAGCCTGTAGTCATCCTGTGATTGACTAACATGTTCCAGCCTTTCCCTCGTTTCAAATAGATACACCCGCAGTTTAGAGCAGAAATTCTCTGAGTGCATGAGCTTGTACTCTTGACTGTGAAATTTAATTCCATCTCAATTACTTCAGTTCTCAAGATCAACAAATTCTTCCTGGCATGATATACTGATCCTCCATTCTAGTGATATTGCCTCACAACTTTGTGTCATCATCATTAGCACACTCTTAATTTTAAGAGAAAGTTACTAGCAAAAATATTATAGAAAGACCAGTCAGAAGGGTGATCCTTGAAGAACTCCACTGGTAACCTCCCTATAGCCTAAAATATTGCACTTTCAAACCAACCACTGTCATCTGAAGGAGAGATACAAGGAAAACTTGCTATGAAGTTTAAATAAACCAAAAAAATCAGCTTGATTGGCTCATGAGCCGAAAAATAAACAAAATTACTTTCTCCTGCTTCACAACTTCAGAAGGAGAAAGAGATCCATCCCATAGCACCTCAGCTTCTGTAATTTTGATCTTTTCCACTAGTTGGTGCACAAGCTCCATGACTCACATTCAGAGAACATTAAGAGAATTTCTGGTGGTAGAACTGAAATATCCCTTGGTTAACTGAAGGTTACAACTCGTACACTCATGTCAGTCATGCTTTGAGATTAACATTACAGGTCAGACCATAAACGAAATAAAATGCAGCTGAAAATAAGTAACTGTAACTGGTCTGTAACTGTAGCGTAAAGACTACCACTGAACCTTTATCACAGATGTGAGGATGTACCTTATCCTGAAGACAGATGCTCTCTTCTATCACTTGACGTGGTATAACCCAGAACAACACTCAGTCCTGCATCATTTAAACACAAAAGAGATAAAAGGGAAATCTCCTGAAATCAGATCATTGGTGTCAAGATCAGTGGAATGTCATTAGAGTAATGCTTTAATAGTAAGCTGTGCAATGTTAACATTAACCAATGCATACAGGTTTCTCTTAGGTTCTCAGCCTAAATCACTGATGCAATCACTCTTACATTTAATATTATTAAAGGACATTATATGCATTTCATTCCAACTACTCCTCTTACCCCTCCAGGGGCCAAATTCAGACTTGATGGAGTTTAGCCATTTACATCCACGGTTTAATTTTCATGCAACTCCTCTTGAAGACAAACTCCAATGATCTGAAAATCGTTTCTCAATGCATCCTCTGCAATCTTGAACCAACTGGAGTCAATAAATCAACTTACAGGGTAGCCCTACTACAAGGACATTATAATAATCTACCCAAGATGCACTAAAAGCATGGATTAGCTTCCCTAAATCAGTTTTTGAAAGGCATGACTTGATCCCAGCTATATTTTCCAGTTGACATTAACCAGATTTCAGCAACTGCTCAAGTACATCATTCTAAAACAGGAACAGGATGAAACAACATAACTAGGTTTCTCACTATGTGAGGGGCTCTTTCAAATCATGCTGTAAATGGACACCATCATGAACTTTATTCATGCGTGAGATGCAGTGTATAATACTTCAACACGTGTATGTTAGATGAAACTATCCTCCAGATCCTAACTCTCCCTCTAATCTGTTGACCTACAGCCACTGCAGCAATGCATTTGACTTTGCAGATAGGAACAGACAGCAGCACAAGTTAAACCTCATTTGCAAAGCTATAGACCTTACTGGCGAGGCAAAGAAACAACTAAACACAAAATCCTGAGCTAACGTACACTCCAGGAGACAGACCATGAAATGAATAATGGCAAGAATGAAAAGACGTCAAGGACTGCCAGATTATGAGGAAAAACCTGTAGTTTCTGCCCTAGCAGCTACCCAGCAGAGTATAAGCCAAGAAAGGCATAGACAGTTTCTGCTGCAATGTTGAGACAAAACAAAACTGACGTCGGTTGTTCTGGATAACCAGAATGAGTTTTTTCCAGCACATTGTAGTTATCATCATCATTCTAGCGAGCCGACGTGCAAGAGGAGTTAGGCGAGTTTGCCTCAATGAGATGGCAGCAAGTTTTAGGAAACGATGGCCGCGTCTACACGAGATGCCGACTGCGCAGTAGCGTCACGTGATAGGAAGCATGACGTGCGACACTGATGCACAATAGTAACGAGTAGTACCGCACGGTCAGCGCCACCGAAAAACCATTCGGCGACATGACCGTGGAGCCACTCCGGTTATCGTGCAGTCATTTAGTACTCGCTCGTACACGTCGGAGCCAGAGAAAGGAGACTTGTTTACACGAAGGCTGCTATCAAACCCCCTGTCTCCTCCTCGCCAGACTCCATCCGCCCAGTTCCCTCGTCCTCTCCTCACCGGCCCTGTCCCCCAGCCCCACAACCGTTTTGGTCACCCTCTCCCAGACTCTCTCCAATGTGTCCACGTGCTTTCCGTAGTGGAGGGCCCAAAACTGGACGCAGGACTGGAGATGTAGCCTCACCAGTAGAGGGGAAGGATGGCTACCCTGGGCCTGTGTTGTTTCTCCCTCCTCTGCGCGCTCCCACCACCACCTAGGGGGGAGAGGAGACGAGACGAAGAGCAGAAGGGCTCCTAAGAACGTCCGCTCACCTTTGCCCTTTGCCCCGACGGGGGTCACCGAACGCAGCCGGTGATTGGCTGCCCGCGACGCCGCGCGCCCCGCCCCTCGCTCGCTCGTACGACCTCTGCCCTTGCCCCTGGTTTCGCTTCCGGGTCACCCCGCGGCGCCGCCCACGATTGGCGGAGAGCTGCCGGCGGCTGCGTGGCGCGTTCCGGGGCGGGATGAAGAAGGAGCAGGTGCTGCACTGCCAGTTCTCGGCCTGGTACCCGCGCTTCCGCGCCCTCACCATCCGCAGGTGCGGCTGGGGTTGCTGGGGCAGGGGGCTTTTCCCCTTCCCCCGCGAGCGCAG